ACCTTCCCATGGGTGACCAGCAGCTCCTGGATGGGCTCCCCCTGGCTGGCTGTAGCATCAAGAATAGCCTGCATGTTCAGCTTCTCCAGGTTCTCATGCTGCTGGTTCCACCTGCCCCAGAGAGTGGAGGTGTATGTGCATTTGGGTGCTCATGTGTGCAGCAAGAGTGGGGTGCGGGCTGGGTCCTATTGAAGCCTAACCTGATCCTGAGCGGCCAGAGGGGGCTCAGGGCCATATACCCCCCAACTCGGAGAGCTTTGTCTCCTCACCTGGGGGCTCCTCCACACTGGGCACCCTCTCCCCCATGTCAGGCCCGTACTCATCCATTCAAGGACTCTGACCCTTGGACCCAGCTGCCTCACCCTCCGGAGCCCATCTCGCGCAGCGGGAAGCTGCGCAGCCCCCGCACCAGCTCGTCAGCCTCCCCCGGCAGCAGCAGCTCCAGGTCGCCCATGTTGTGGCCGCAGACAGAGCGGGAAGGCGGGGCTCAGCTGATCCCGAACAGCAGCCGGCGCTGAGGTGGGGGTGCTGAAACTCTCGGGGACGAAGGTCTCCCGCGGGGGTCCAGGTCTTGGACACGGCCGTTGCTGAGCAGTTGGGGCGCGTGCGTCCTCGCCGTCATGGAAACGGTTAGCTCGGCGCCTGCGCACTTGCGGCCCGCACAGGCTCCGGCCCCGCCCCCGCCGCCTTGCTTTCCCGGCGGCGGGTAGCAAACGCTCTTTGGACTCCCAGAACTTTCTCCCTCACCTCCGACTGCGGCTCAAGGATCTGTCCTGAGTGCCAGTCGGACGTCAAGTCGACCCACACGGGGACAGGGCCACCCTGCCCCCACCAGCTCTTCCAGCAGCGGCTTCACCTCGGCCGTACGGACGCTCCTCTCCGTGGCTTCCTCGCCCTGGTGTCTCGCGCCCGGCTCCACCTGTTGGCTCAACAACGCCCCCCCCACCCCGCCCCAAGTAATGCGCAGGACTCCTTTCTAGCCTAACAGGCTGCCATCACGTCTCATGAGGTAACTGCTGTAGTCTTTTCCTGGGTGACTCTATGGCTGCTTCTAGCCCTCGAAATAGTATGTCCAAAAGCAGCTTACCAGGAACTCTGCAGTATCAGGCTCTTGCCCCCTCAGTACCTTGGGACTTCATTTCTTGCCCCCTCCCCATTGCCTCCTATGTTCCAGCCCCGTGGGCCTCTCTTGGGATCCTCATGCATCCTAAAGCTGTTTTTGTTTCAGGGCTTCTGCACCTGTTCCCTCTGCCTGGAATACTCTTCTTCCTTCAAGCCTCAGTTCCGGTCACCTCAGCGAGGCCTTCCTTGGCCATTTAATCCAGAACAGCCCCAACTCCCACCCCAGGTCATCATCAGCTTCCTGATTGTTTTTCTGGCTATTTCAATTAATAATTGGCGGGCACATTTACTTGTCCATAATCAGTCCTGCCCACCAGATGGCGCACGAGGGCACCAGGACCACGGCTATTTCACGGCCAGTTCTCTGGTGGCTGGATCAGAGGCTGTACTCAATAAACGTAAGTTGAAATGGATGATTTTATTTACAGAAGTGAGGGTCACCCTTGAGACAATATGGACTAGTCTACCAGTCTAGCCCTCATGCACCAGGGGGTGCTTAGTAGGAGAGCCCCCACCAGCCTCACTTCCAGCAGATGATGATGTTGGGGTCATTTTCCAGCCGTTCATCAAGCTCGTGGTAGCTCATGCCTGTTTGGGACAGTGCAGGTGAGGTGAGCAGTCTTGGCTTGGCCACCTGCCCTGACCCCACCCCAGCTGCCCTGCCTGTCTCTACCTGTCTTGCAACAGATCTCATCATAGCTGTGGCAGCCTGTGTAAAGCCGGGCAGGGTGGCTCCGCTCTTCCCGAGACACCCGCACAGGGTACTTCTGTAGTCGGCGGATGAGGTTCTTCATAAGCCCAAACTGGATCAGCTTCCTAGAGTGGGGTTGAGGGAGAGAGGGGTGATGCCCTGGCCAGGCCTTCCTCCAGCCAGGCCAACCCTTTCCTGCAGTCTCCCTTCTGGTTTTGTCTCAGTGACCAGGCTGGCCTCCAAACCCATCACCTCCAGAAAGCCTGCCTAGACTACTAGTGCCACATGATTCTGCTCACTGGGAATCTCCTGCTTCCTCTCTAACCCAAGGCTCCAGAGAGATGTAGAGTGTATCTGCTTTCAGGCAAACCCCTCCATGCCCCTGGGAATCTCCTTCTGACCGTTCATCAACACGCTGCAGCTGCTGGGGGTGGCGGCCAATGAGGTCTCTCACAGTCGTGCCGGGGCTCAGGCTGCAGTACAGCTGGAACACATCCCGGAGACTGGCCCTCTTGTGCCCTATGGGCACCAGGCGTCAGCTCTGCAGGTGGCCCCGCCCTCCCCAAGATGGCCCCCCCCAGAGCCCACCACTACCTTGTTTGGTCACATAGGATAAACACGCCTCTTGCAGGGACTTGTCATCTACCAGGTCCTGGACCTTGGGTGTCGGGCAGTACACGTTGGAATACTGGAGGGTAGCAGGAGGCACAGGGGCCTGAGTGAGGGGCTTGGAAGTCTGACACCGCCCCAGTCTGGCCAAGCCACGTAAGTCACTCTCTGCCTAACCAGACCCCAGACTCACCTACCTGGAGGATGGACACCAGTGTCACAACGCCATAATACCTGGGGGAGATAGTTGTGCTCAGCTTCTGAGGGCCATGCCTTCCCACCTTCACCCTCAGGGTCTTGGGGCTCTTCCCTGGCTAGCAACCCTGTTCCAAGTGTGACTGCTGCCCCACTCACAGCAAGTTCTGGATGGCGATGCGCACCAGGTTTAGCTCCACATCTGCCTCGGCTGAGATCTTCTGCACATGGCGGAAGCCATCAATATAGGGCAGGATCTGGGCAGGGCAGGGCAGGATCAGTAGGGGTGGGATGAGGCCAGAGCTGTGGCCAGCCCTAGGTGATGATCCCCAGGGAGGGAGAGCACACCTGTTGTGTGGTGAGGTCCCACTGTGAGTTGAAGAAATCTTCCTTGTCCTTGGTAAAGACAGGCACATCATACTCCTGTGCCACAGGAGGGTCAGGCCGCTGCTCAATCACCTTCAAGTGGATGGTGTTGGACTCATCTGCAGGGGCCCCACCCATATCTTCAGTGTCATCTCTTTCAAGAGGCCCTCTATTACCCTCCAGTCCTCCCAGCAACTCTTGAGGCAGGGGGGTGGCCCTGGGTAGTGCCAGTCTCCCCCAACCCCCGCTTTTCTTAAGCTCTCTGTCTAATGTGGGGCTTGAACTCACCTCAAGATCAAGACTCACATGCTCTACTGACTGAGCCAGCCAGGGGCCCCCAATCTTCCCCTTTTATGGAGCAAGAGACAGGTCCGGAGAGGGAAGGGAACAAACCCACGGAACATGGAGAGTTCTTTTGGCCTCCACATCTCAAATCCCAACATGCACTGGACCCTGGACATCGTTAACCCAGCTCATTGGGCCACCAATTTGTTCATAAGTCTTGTCCATGGCTGGGCTTGCCTTTCCCTTGCCATGTTCCTATCTCTCCTCTACCCCTCTGCTGTCCTTGCAAAGGCTGGGCCATACCGATGGGCAGAGTGCACCGGCCTGAGGCATTTAGCTCCTCCAGCAAGATGGTCATGATGGGCACCAACTTCTGCTTGCTCTCCTCCGTCGACACGAAGCTGCTCTCTAGCTGGATGGAGCATGGACAACATGGTGGGCACACCCCAGGACCCCTGGCTGGCATCCTGCCCTGGCAGATACCCAGGTCTGGAGGGCTTTGGAAACATTTGTCTGCCTGCCCCTCCACTCAAGCCCATCGTGTTGCAGACCTCCAGTGTGGTCAGGTAGCCAGCCAGCTTTTTGACGATGGGCTCAAGGGCACAGGTCTTGGCCTGGGCATCACACACGAAGCCTAGGTTGAAAAGCAGGGCATTGCGGCTGTACTTCTTGTGTTCAATGCACACAGGGCAGCCGATCAGTTTCTTCTCCATGGCTGTGCTGGATGGGGTGGGGGGAACAGGTGGGAGCAAAGTCAGGCTCCTTCTGCCCCCAAGCTTGTCCACTCCTCCGGGGACGTTCCCTCCCTTCCCCACTAGGGCCTCACACAGTGATGAGCTTGTTCTGCAGCTCTGGCTTGGTGATGATGTACACCTGGACTGTGTCAAACAGCTCCCGGGAGATGAAATCTTCAGGGACCTGGGGAGGGGAGTGGCAAGAGGCCCCTTAGTGGACCTTGGGACTAGGCAGAGTATACTGGGTGACCCCCCAAGGCCTAAGCCCTGTTGTCCAGCGTTTCTCCTCTCTCCCATCCACCCAGACCTACTACTACTTTGTGTTTCCAAACACATGCCATGTTCTCACCGGCCTCCTGGCTTTTGCATATGCTGTTTCCCCTACCTGGCACACTCTCTTCTCCTCCATCTAAATTCCTAAGCATCCAGGAATACTATTGGACCGCGCACCCCCGCCTCTCTTGGGACCTTGAACCTCCCCTGGGTCGCCACAGCCCGATTTCCCACAATCACTGCCTATGGGATGTTTGCCCCGACACACCGGGAGCCTGGGACCTGGGTCTGAGTATCCTCTCGGTTCACGATTCTCCGCGAATGAAGGAGTGGTATGCCTGCGTGCAGCATGGGGCTGGGGAATCCACCGCTTCCAGGCAGCTTGCTCAGCTCCCAGGAGCGTCCCTCTCCCACCACCCTCACCACCCCAGCCCCCGGCCCCGCGAGCCCGGATGGCACCTGATAGGTGATCTTGGGTCCCAGCGTGGGGTGGAACTCGCTGAAGAATATGCATTCGATGCGGCAGCCGCTGCCCATGGCGCTAGCAGGGCCCAGGTCTGTAGACTCTGGCTCCTGAACCCCTGCAAACACCGTCGGAGACAGCCCTCAGGCCTGGACCGCCAGATCAAGCACGCCTGCGCACTCACACACCCGTTACGCTGCCTGCTTAACAGCGCCTGCGCAGAGCGACTGAGAGGTGTGGCTGGGGGGTGGGGTAGCTTGTCTCGGGAAGTCCCGGCTGGGAAGACGTCGCACCCGGAAGTGAAGCGGCTCCGCGACGGAGCGGCAGGGCGCGCGGCAGTGCCCCAAGTATCCCGCTTTCTCGGGAAGAAACCATCGCATCGGGTCAGCGCTGAGGCAGGCGAGTCCCTAGCGTGTAGGGGCAGCATGCCAGCGGCACGTGGGGAGACTGTGCGCGAAGGGATTCAGGCTGTAATTTGATACGCAGATGGGAACTACAATATCCGTGGTGCTTCACGCCCTTCTAGCTGGCGCTCCCGCGCGGCGACGGCCTGATGCACGCTGGGATTTGTAGTCTATTACACGGCCTTGCGCATCCTACCTGGAAGGTGGGCCAGTGATCAGTGCCAGTTCAGATGCGGGTACAGGCCGAGAGGCCGCCGGTCCTCGACTATTCCTGGTGCCTGTGTTGGTACTGCCCCTTCTTACCTTAACGTCTTGGAAGAGAGTGGCATTCCTGCCCTGCAACTTTTGCTCCAGTGAGAGGAGTGGACAGCAGGCACCTGAGACCCTTGCTCATTCTACTATGCTTTCAGGCTACAGCCATTGGCCTGGTTGACCATGGCCCTTTCTGTGGAGACCGAGTCGCACATCTACAGAGCTCTGCGCACTGCCTCTGGGGCTGCTGCCCACCTTGTGGCCCTGGGTTTTACCATCTTTGTGGCTGTGCTTGCCAGGCCTGGCTCCAGTAAGTAGAATTCATAGTTGACTTCTGGGAAGGAAAGCGGCCCTTCTCCTGGGGAGCAGGAGCAATAGGAAGCTTTGGGCCTGACCCCCGGAAAGGCTTGCCTGCTTGGGGGACATCCTATGCTGGAGGGATAAGTGGGGAGGAGGTGAGTGTGGGGGCCTACCAGTTGGGCCAGAGTACCTGGCTTCTCTTTCCTTGTCTTGGTGCTCCACTTGGCTGCCTTTGGTGAGGTGCTAGGAGAAGGAGGAAGGACTGCCAGAGTGGCAAAGCATGGCCTCTGCCCCGGGGAGGGACCAGGAAGCAAGGATAGGTAGGGGGTGAGCTTGTTGCAGTAAGAGGGGCTAGCATTTTGGCAGTGCTTCCTTGGGTGAGGGGCAGCTCATTTTCCTCACCCTGTGGGGATTGGTGTGGCTGGGTTCTTCTTGCCTCAGCCTCACAGAACCTCCTTTTCATTCCAGGTCTGTTCTCCTGGCACCCCATGCTTATGTCTCTGGCTGTAAGTAGCACGCCTGGCAGCTCTTAGGGGTGGGAGGGAGCATAGGTATGGGTGGTAGTCCTGACAGCCTCTGAATCCTGATGAACACTTAGTCTCTTTAGAGAGATGGAATGTGGGATTGGAGGTGTTGCATGCTCCAACTCCTGCCCCGTGGTATATATCCCAGACTTGAACCACAGTGTTCAAAACCTAGGGCAAATCGGTCTAAGCACAAAATGAGACTTCACCCACCTCCAGGCAGGAAGCTTAGAAAATGCATTTGGCTGTACCCGTGTCCCCTTTTACCTGAATTTATAGTGATGCATCGAATTTTCCCTGAAACAGTGCACCCATGTGGCCACCTCTTGCCAAGAAATTGTATCCAGCCCCATGTCAGGGAAACAAAGCCTGTGAATCATTTATGACTGCCACATCTCAAACCTGGTGTTTGCTGGGTAATATAGCAGAGATGACGTTTCACAGTATCACCTAGGAAGGAGTGTGGAGAGGTACATACTTCTCGCCCGTTACTCAGGGCAGATGTTCTGTCCCTGAGAGTTCCTCACTCTTGCCCCACCCAAATGGATACTCTTGTCGCTGGGGAGAGAATGAAGAGGGGGACTCAGCCCAGAGTGACTGGCAGTTTAGAAAGTTATCTAAATCTTTTTCCTTCTGCTGGGCAGCACCCTGACTTTGTTTCCCATCCCTGTCTCCCCAGTTCTCCTTCCTGATGACCGAGGCACTGCTGGTGTTCTCTCCGGAGAGTTCGCTGCTGCGCTCCCTCTCACGGAAGGGCCGAGCACGCTGCCACTGGGTGCTGCAGCTGCTGGCCCTGCTGTGTGCACTGCTGGGCCTAGGTCTTGTCATCCTCCACAAGGAACAGCTTGGCAAAGCCCACCTGGCCACGTGGCATGGGCGGGCAGGGCTGATAGCTGTGCTGTGGGCAGGCTTACAATGCTCGGGTGGGGTGGGGCTGCTCTACCCTAAACTGCTGCCCCGATGGCCCCTGGCTAAGCTCAAGCTGTACCATGCCACTTCTGGGCTAGTGGGCTACCTTCTGGGTAGTGCTAGCCTCTTGTTGGGCATGTGTTCACTCTGGTTCACCGCCACAGTCACTGGTGGGGTCTGGTATCTGGCTGTGCTGTGCCCTGTCATTACCAGCTTGGTCATCATGAATCAGGTGAGCAACGCCTACCTGTACCGCAAAAGGATCCAGCCATGAGCTCCTCTCAGCCTAGAAGCCTGGATATGCCCCTCAGTGTAGTAGCTGGGGCTGGGACCTCCTGGATTCTCTCAGCTGACTAAGTCATGGGGACACCTCAGGCACTGGAGCAGTCTAGAATAGGAGTCTTGTGTGTGACATTTTTGCTTGCTCCTCATCCTGGAGTGCTTCCCCTTTCCTTCTGTACTGTCCCAGAGGAGCTTATGGATGATGTGTCCAGATGAAGTTGGGGTTACAAGACTACTTCCCCGGCAACTCAACTCATACTTGTACTGGTATGTCCAGAAATTACAGGAGACAAAAAGGCAAAATAAAAAAGAATGACTGAAAAGACTGGATGGGAGGAACAGCTTAGAGTTGGGGAATAGTTTTCGCTAATGCTGTCAGCATGAAAAAACAGGCAGCTGGGCAAGATGGGGACGCCTGTCCCTGGCAGCTCACTGAGGGGCTGAAGCTCTCCCAGCACACGAGCTCCTAGGACCTGGCTGCTCAGCAGCCTGTGCCACCAGGGCCCTAGAGCTGTAGCTGTGGATGGTTCAGCTGTGTGTCCTCTCAGTCCCCAAGCTGCCCACTGTGCCGGCGTCTCCAGATTGTGGTGGTTAGATGTGGACAGTGACAGGGTGGGAACTCAGGATGGGCTGTTTCCATAGGTGTCAAGCACGGAGAACTCTGTTTTGGGGGTGAGCCATCAATAAGAACAGCTTTTTATGATAGAGGGGCCCTCAACCATCACATCCTCTGGGCAGGGCCTCCCTGACTGGGAATCAGAGGGAGAGAAAATGAGTAAGGATCTGAAGTGATAGCTCTGAGGAGGTTGTTTTAACAGTGGGCATGTGGTAGTAAGGCAAAGTGGGAGTAACAGGCTTCTTACTCAGCTGGAGTTGCCATGGAGACCAAGCCCTTGAACCTAAAGTCCCTAACTTTGCAGCTGAACATGATGAGGGGGCTGCACAAGGTGGTCTGACAGAGCCCAGGAGCCATACCTCAAAGAACTGCTTTATTGATACTGCGAGGCTGGGCTTGGCTGCCCACTCAAGTGGTCCTGTAGAAAATACTTGGGAGCTGTGGCCCTTCTGGCCCAGAAGCAGCCATAGCCACAGCAGAGGGGGTCGGAAATCTTCACAGGAACAGAGTCTTTCTGAGGGTGCGCAGGGAACTGCAGCCCTGCACTGGCTGGACCCCCAGAACGTTTTTGGCAAATCCTTGCCTCGGCTCAGGGCTCTTGGCAACCAGTATCAGGCATAGGGGTTGGCCCAGGGGCTGTGGCACCAGTGTCCCTGTAGCCACTTGCTGGGGGTTATCTGCTGAGGTACAGTCTTACCTCAGATGGCCTGGGCTGGCTGATGGTTCAGAGGCCCCATGCCTGGCATAGTGGTTGTCTGGAGTTGGAACCAGGTAGCAAGAGTCCCGGGTAGTGTTGGCGACAAATAGCAGAAGGCTGTGGAAACCCCCAAGGCCTTCTTCCCTCTCCTCAGAGCAGTCAGGCGCCCTGGAGTAGCCGAGAGGTGTCAGGGGGAGCTTGGGAGAGGAGGTGCTACACTCAAGGTGGTCTGGAGTTACAGCTTCGGGGGAGCTGCCTCGAAGGTGATCAGGCTGGATTCTGGGGCAACCCCCTTTCCTGGGAGCGTGGGGGCCTTGTCTGAGGGTAGCGGGCTATCCACCTTGGCCCCTGCCTCCTCTTCATCGTCGTCCATGCTTGGCCAGACGGACTGGTCCTCCACTCTCTTCAGCCGCTCGTTGAGGGCCTTTAGGGCCAGTTGCCTGGAGCCGGAGGAGATATGACAAGTCACTTTGGGTTTGGACTTGGCTCATGCCCTATATTCTTCCCCCATGAAGCTGACTCTCGCTACCACCCAGACTTCTCTCAGAATCCTATGTATTTCCCTTCACCATGAAGGGCCCAGGGCTCCCCAGGGACTGGATAGGGCCCACCCTGGCATCGGAATGAGGACCCAAAGGCTATATAGAGCCTTCCCTTCATAGTCCTGACACCTCCAGGCTAAGAAGGCCAGCAGGGTGTCTGCCAGACTGCCCACCAGGCCAGCCGCAGGAATGATTCTGAGGGTGGGGCCTAAGCATGGGCAGAGCTGGTACCCCAAGGAAGATGGGTAGAAGGGTAAGTCCCTTGGATGTGGGCACTGGTATCACATCCAAGGAGAGGGTTATTACTTTTCTCTCCTTGTTAGGTGTGTTTTGAGTCTCCTGGCAAGGGTCTGAGGGGAATGCTGGAACTCAAGCACCCATCTTGGATCTCAACCTGGGAAGCAGGGCCAACTTGGGTCAGCCCATCCCTCCTAACTGACTTCAATGTTCTCTTTCCCAGAAGAATCCCCACAGCCACCAGGACCTGTGTTAGAGCAGGGACACACCAAGTTCCTGCAGGAAGAGAGGGAGGAACAGCTTATGTGTGTAGGACACAGGCCAGAGCCTACTGGTTCCACTGGATAAACCTTTTTGGACCTCACTTTGGGGGTAGGTGGGAAAGTTGACTGGAAGGTGTACATGTGCACTTAGGACCCTAGTCTATCCAGGAGGTTGAACACCCATGCTGCCAGCTAATAATACTTCCAATAGTGGTCACTGTGGAAGCCTGATGCCTTAACCTGTCTGTGCTCCAAGTATGGGGGACAGCCTGTAATAGCCTTCCAAGTTCCAACAGAGAAGCTAAACCTCCAACATGCCAGGGAACATGACAGGAAGGCAACAAGAATATGGCACAGAAAACCCTAGCCCAGTTCCACCCTGTGCTCCAGCCTGACACATGGCAGATTGGCATAGACAGGACAGTTCCCTGTGCTTCCCAGGCTCCCATCCTGGAGACAGCCTTGTCAATTCTGTCTAAAGCCTGCTAAAATAGAGAGGTAGTGGCATACTAATCACTTCCTCACAAGGGTCAAAGATAGGAAACCCTGCCTCCCAGTACTAGTAGCCCTTTGGGTTTGGGAGTGGCATGCTGCCAGATGCCCAACTGGTTGGAGTAACAACCACAAGACTATGCCAAGAACCTAGCTCCTGACAGCCTTCCTTACCCCAGCTTGCCATTTTCTTGGGCCTGAGCAGAGGTGCTTTGAATCTCCAGCCAACCCTAACAAATCCAAGACTTCTCACTAAAGGAGGAGTCACCACTGGGCCCTGGCCCCACCTGCAGAGCTCTGGGGACAGCTCAGTTTCTACTAGGTCCAGCCCTCTTGGTCCCACCTCCGCCACTGGATAAAGTGAAGACAGACCTCAGTCTTTAGAATTCATCAGCCACAGAGACACAAACCATAGGGCCCACAGTCATGCCCTGCAGCATGCTTTGTGTACTTTTCAACACCCACCACCTTAGGCCATAGTAATCTGTGGCCCTTCCCCAGGTGGAAACTCCTTCAAGAAAGGGGTGTGTCCCATGCTCATTGCCACAGCCCCAGTGGAGAGTAAGCACAGGGATAACCTTTCAGGTGAATTCATAAAGCTGCCTGCCAAGAATCCATTTCACAGGTGAGCAAAAGTAGAAGCCTTTGACAAACACAGAAAGTAGGAACAGAGCCTGCTGTAGATTTCACTATTAAAGTAACTACCTCAAAAAAAAAAAAAAACAAAACTTCAAAAATAATGTTGGAAATGGAGCTGTGACAACTCTGGTGAGTCTATAGACCTAGGAGAGAGAGAAGTGGATTAAAAAAGATCTGCCCTGCCCTGGACAAGATGCATTCAGTGAATAATTCCGCTGGGACTGCAGATGGTGCAGATGGCTTGGTTTACAGATAACGAAGAAGGTTGCCTCCACTCCCTGTGTGGTCAGCAGGCTCCCGTAGTGGGTCACATGGCCCGTCCCCTGGGTGGGGTGACACATACATGCTGGAAGGACGGGATGGTAAATCTAGTAATACCCCAAGGTTCCCCCTCAATAAATAAGTGGCAGAGAAGCACAGCATCTGAATTAAGACCCAGGAAGAGGATATGGTTCAGCATTTTGAAACTGGGGTGGCCCAGACCGCCTCGTAAGGAAGTTCTCCTTGTCTGTCCCTCCCTCACTGGGGAAATAGGACAAGCAGGTTGTTTCTGGCTCCCACAGGACCAGTGTCTAGGATTCCAAGAGTCTGAGACAAGGCCAGGATTATGTGCACCTGGCCCTCCATTAACCCCTCACACAGTACGAAAGGAAACCGGACATTTCTTAGAACTTGTTAAGCGGCCTGGGTGGTGAGAAAGGCAAATTGCACTCCTTCATGTTGGAAAGCACTACTGGAGCCCAGCACCTAGTTGCTGAGGTTCTCAAAGCCACAAACTGGATTTTATCTCCTCAGTCTGTCCCAACACCTGACCCTTGGCTGCCAGCCAACACAGCAAGCACAACAGATGGAACGGGACTTGATCAATAAAAACTCTCCTAGCTCAATAAGGTTTTGGAAGACTCCACAGTACCTTCTCCGCTCCGCATCCTGAGGGTCTGTGCCTGGGAGGCTGATGGTGATGGAAGATGGGGCACCTACATCATAGCGCTTCACTGTCTTCTGGCATATCTTTACCTTCACCAGGAGGCCGTGCACCAAGTTCGCCAGCAGCCCCACCACAGGCTGCAGGATCTCAGGGAAGAAGGTGGCAAAAGCAAAGTGGTCAGCCATGTCCCCTCGGCCTCGGCTATGGCGCTGGTAGAAGCGGAGATACACCCAACTGGAGAGCAGCCCAAAGCCATAGGAGGCCAGTGCTGGGCTCTGGAGCAGCGTGGCCAGCCGCAACAGCAGCAGCAGCCCCAGCAGCAGCATGGGCACCACGCTGACGCGCACCTGCGGCACACGCAGGACCACGCAGTCCCCCATGGTTTGCTTGAGTGCCACCAGGACGCCACCTAGGAAGCCCAGGGCTCCGTGGATGCGGATAGTGAAAAGGTAGACCAAGTTGAAGGAAGTCATGTAGGTGAGGAGGTAGGCAAAGGCCCCCAGCAGCCCCACAGACACGTTCACCACTGAGAAGAAGATAAGCAGCTCCAAGGCTCCCCAGAGGGGCTCCAGCAAACGTCCAGCCACCACCACTGTGGCCAGGCTGATGGCCACATCCCACACGTGCTGTTCCATCAGCCCATGGGTGGCCAGGGTCCAGATCCAGAAATTGGGCGGAAAGAGGTAGCCTGGGGTGACCGCCAGGCAGCCCGTGTCCACGGCGAAGGACAGCAGGTAGAGGAAGAGTACTGCCGCGCACAGGGTCTTCACCACCACGCTGGCGCTGGCCAGGATGGCCCCCAAGTGCTGGCGGGCGCCCGGTAGGGCGCGCTGCATCTTCCCGAAGGGCGTCGGCCTGAGAGAAGGATTTAGTGTGTTAGGGGGGCCTCCCCGGGGCCTCGTCCCAGTCCG